CTTTGAGTTGGAATCTAATACGCGAATACTGCGTAGTTATAAGCGAAAATGTCATTTGAATATCCGAATTCTAAATGAGCGCGAATTTTAATGGAAATAGAATTATCGAAATCATGTCAAAATCGAGGATCTGGATTTTCAACATCGCATTTTAGCGACAAATGCAATTTAAGAAGATATGACGCAATGTACGGCGTGAAGGTTGAAGAGGCAATTTGTTGTAAAAATGAGCGATCACTAAAAATAAAGAAATTTGCAATAATAGCTATGCTGGACATAGCAGCCGGGCTTTCAACAATGTCTTCGCCTATACGAGTACATCGTCTCAGACGCACCTGCGGATGGATAAAACTCTGGTTCGAGGCACTGGCTGGTCTATCAAAGGGGCACTCTGCATGGGGTATTCTCACTTCACTCATATGGGTAGTGACGGTCAACCAACTGCTGCGGCACATGGCGGTGAATGGATATGAGGTCCTCACATATATACATATGTCGATGCTCAAACTTTGTGCAATCTCATCCAAGCTGCTCTTTATTCGCTAGTTACTTGGACCAGCTAAAACTGAGCTAATCATTTTTACCAGACAGTATAAAGTAGCGCTCTTCGCCCGTCAAAAGGCGATCGGCGTATCGTGGGGCCTCCCACCTAGGATAGTTCTATGAAGCCATTATTCGTCTCAGTTTACTTTACGGAGCCCTAGTCTAGGGGCCTACCCTTAACGCTTAAACAATTTTTAAGGGTACAAAGATGTGCGGAGCTATGCACCAACTGAGCTCTATGCTGTACCCCTACCGAAGCTCTGAACGCAATTTTTCATCTATCAACGCCTGACGCAATTGCTCGTGAAATAGCCGTTATTGCAGCCTTAAGACTTAGAGCGGCCGGTGTCTGGACTCATGGTACATCCGGCCACTCGAAAATGACGATGGCGTCCAAACCGAGACCTGCAATTACTAACGACTGCATACCATCAAATACCTTTAACAAAAACTATAAATGGTGCTATATATAGTAAACCAACTCAACAGGATAATAACTCCACTAACGCAACGCTATAAACATGTACACTGACGGCTCCAAACTCGACGAAAAGGTCGGCAGGGGAGTCTTCTTCTCGAAGCTGGAACTATACATAAATATAAATATCTTTTCGGCATCCTGACCACTTCGGTGTTAGTGGCACCTATTAAAAAGATCCAAAGAGGAAAGACAAGTTTTTATCTTCTCTTTTAGTCAAGCAACTCAAGACTCATGCCTAGACAACAAAAAGGAACAGTCCAGCGCCTTAGTCTTGGTCTGCAGGCTGTATCGGAGATGCAGCCGCTGAATTTAAACGTAGAATACGTGATATGGTTAAGAGCACATCCAGGTCAAAAACGAAAGCACACACTAAGAAAAAAATATCGATAACAAAAGCGATAATAATATCTATAGCAAAATCGATAAAAATATATAACAAAATTGATAATAATACCGATAGCGAAATGTATAACAAAATCGATAAAAATATCTATAACAAAATCGGTTAAAATATCGATAACAAAATCGATTAAAATATCGATTACAAAATCGATAAAAAATATCGTTTATTATATCGATAAGTTCCGAAAATATTGATGGCAAAATCAATAACAATATTGATAAAAATTTCAATAACAAAATCGATAACAAAACCGATAAAATATCGATCAGTCACGAGAATTCCAAAAATCTCTAAAATCCCGAAATAGTCCCCAGATTGAGTCTATGTCTATATCCTTTTCTCTATAATTACCTTTATTTTAATCTTTCTTCCTCTATCTTCATCTTTACTTTTATCGGTAACCTCATCATCATATTTTTCTTTAATATAAAAAAAAATTATACCAAACTCAGAGTATCTTCCCGAAGTGGCAATTTCCTGGACACAGTAGGAAAGATTCAGCTCAAAACAAGCAAAATATATGTTCTTATTCCCCCTTCTAAAGAGCTGAGTATGAGACGATAATCTCCATCTGCTCTGGAATAATGGAGTCCGCTGCCCTTGGATATGTATATCGTGTAGCTAAATGAAAACTCGGGAATACGGTAAAGGGATCTACACCTAATTAAAGGATGGTACACCGGTGTTAAACATGAAGAAAACCTACAGAACCTAGAGCCAGAATTAGGATGTCGGTTGCAATGGAAGAGTAGCCCTACCAAATAGAATAATATTCCGCCATTATTAGTACCAGAACACAGGAAAATTGAGGGCAGAGATCTTGGACAGACTAGCCGTGGAGACCTCAGCCTCCAATTCCAATTGTATGTCAGCTCTAACTGACAATAGGTCTTAATATAATCAAAGAGATCAGAAAGGCACGAGGATCAATGAGATAACAGCGCTCAACTTGTCCTTCAAGTTTGTTTAAGGGATTCCAGTTTCTTATCCATCTTCCAAAAATAAATTAAAAATGGTGCAAAAATTTGTACAGGGAAGTGTAGACTAAAGGATCATCTACATAGCCTAGGTAAACGGTTGAACGATGTTTGGTGGTTCGACCAAAGAAACACCGCATCTTCTAGGGGCGATAGTTTTAACTGAAATTTTGAGAAGAGCAGAGGACACAATACATCCTTAGATCACAGACTCATGTAATATCTATAAATGTATTCTCCTAGACCTACCTAGATTTCGCTTCAGAGCTGATTTGTCGAAATGTTCTCCAATACTTCCTGAATATATTGTAGTTCATATACTAAATATAGATAACTAACATACATGTACATATTTAGTAAATGTTTTTTAATAGTTCGAAGCAATCGAAATGTACAGCTTTATACCAAGTAGTGGTTTCTTAGACATTTGAATACTTCTGTAAATCTTACTATTTATAACTAATCTTATCTTAACTATTTTGAATTCCTCGCATGCAGTTACATATTTGGAGTTTTTATACCTGTTTACGAGTTAACGTTGCGTTTTAAAATGTAAGGCGTTATTCATTTTTAAACTAGAATTAGATTGTCTTTTGATTATTTATTTATAACGAATAGTAAATTGGTAATTTTTAACAAATTGCAAATTGTGCAGGAAAAAGTCAAAAACCACAATCGGCAAAGAAAAAGCTAACCAAATTCTTCAGCAGAAAAGTTGATGATGAAACAGAAGATTACGCGACAACAGAAGGTAACAAAAAGAGCACAGCTGCCAGACAAAAGCGTCCCGCACCGCAGCCACCTGAAACAAAAGAAAGTGCGACTCGCTCACAAAAAGCGATAACAACGCAATGCGAACAACAAATAAAAGAATTAACGACATCAGCAACAACAAAGAGGCTAAAGTCATCAACAGATTTTGAATACACCGTACCCACAACGGGGGCAACAAACGACAAACAAACACCAAAGCAAGAGCACGACGAAGATCACCGTGAATTCATTGAGCATCTCTTTGCGGCGGTCACCACAAATAGCGGCAGCGAAGCAATTGGAACCACAACCACAGCACCCGATGCTGGCAGCGCAACAGACGATGAGCGGGAATGGTTGGACTATGACGACGACGATGGAGCGGGTAGAGGCAGAGAGATTGAAACTACAACAGTACAGCAGATGGCGGTTGGAAGAAACAAGCAAGCAAAACAAATAGGAAAAAATACCAACAAACTGTTGGAAGAATCAACAGTTGGAACCATTGCGGTGGAGGGAAGTGGTCATAGTATTCCAGCGTCGTCAACAACTACAGACGCCAACAAAGAAGGCGACGATGCTACTAACTGGAATGTCAACACAAAGCGAAACGGTAGAGTACATACACGAAAGCATTGGTAAAAGGGCAGTAATTACAACAAAAAAACACACGACGAATTGCCTGTGGGGGAAGCGATAAAAGCGTATAGTGTTGAGCGTGGTTTGATGAGCGTAATGTACTTAGTACAAAAGAGAGGCTCGATCGTTGTGCTAGGTGGAGAGTTTGTTGTCAGTGTTGGCTAATTGTGGTAGAGTGTAGAGTTGTGTGTCAAAGTGCAGATGTTTTGTTTACAAATGAAAGGTATTATGACGAAATTACTATTCCGCAATAGCCGGCACTGTATTTACACAAAATGATAAAAAACTAGCCGTAAAAAAAGGTTTTTGTGATTGCATTAATGTTTTCTTTTTATTCCACTTCTGAAAAATGTCAAAAACCAAAAACAATGTGTTACGCTCTCTCGCCGGAGATTTTTATGAGTAATACCAGTAAACTTTAGGACTTTTGACTTACTTCTTACTCTTTATCATTTTAAACAGTGAGGAGTTTGTCATACTTGTTTTCAAGTTTATCAGTGAACTCTGTTTTTTGTAAGGGCAGGGTTTACAATGCCGGGTTAGGATTCATAATTACTCTGTTTGAAGAATAGTTTCGCGTTTCTTGATCCCAACTTTGAATATAACAGAAACTTCCCTCCAAGCTGATATGCAAAGAATAGGGAATTCATAAAAAAACACCGCCAGCTATGTTTTTTTCAAAATTTTTTGTTTAATGCATCTGGAAAATTTTGAAAAATTTCACGTTTTTTTCGCGGTTAGGGCTTCTTAGATTTTAGGCTTCATATCAAAGAAAAAAATCGACTATCGAAGCTGACCCTTTACCCAGAGTAAGAACTCAGTTCAACGTTGAAGAACAGTGAATAAAATCAGCAAACAACGGCTGACCTCTAACTGCAAGCGTGACCTTTATTGTTCTACTTTAAATACATATACAAACACATACCTACTACATATCAAAATACAAATATGCGCGCATTAGTTTGATGAGCTTTTCCCAAGGGCCTTCACGCTTCATACGTGGCTTTCCGTTTTACACCTATCGCACGCAACTATTCATTTATTTAATTTACAATAAAATTTAAACACACCTTAGAGCGCACATAAAACCCACTAACTCAGCCCGTACTCGCATCAAACCCAACTCTCCAATAAGCTAAGGCAGCCAAGTGAACAACGCTGACGACGACGACGCTCCAACAAAAGCGCCAGAGCACCCGGCCGACAAGCCGCCGCTTCAGCTCTTTTTACCGCTGCTTTTTTCTGTGCTCTGTTTTTTACTTGCTTTCTTTCTTTGCTCGCTGGAAGACAGCGTGCACAACAGCTCCAACTGAAGCTCCAGCCAGAGTTCTATGTACTACCAATTTACAAAACACACAAACCAATTTCCAGTGTGACTTCAGTAATGCTTTACATTTCACAGGCAACGGATCGGCGACACATGAAAAACAACGGGTTGCAACGTCAAAAAGTTTTAGTAGCAGTGATGACGATGCGGTGCAATCGATTAGTGTTGTTGTTGTAGCTGATAGTTGTGGTATAGCAAAGCCACAAAGGTACACAAATCAAAGGC